GGGGACATTCACCTGGATGCTTCGTTCACCTGCTGCTCTGGCCCCCCCAGCGTCGGGCAGTGGGTTCCTCAGTGGGCCCCCCACCCCCAGGGTGCCCCAGGACCCTGAGTTCCCGAGCCTGAACAGCAGCATGAAAGCTCACTGGGGGACCTAACCGGCTATAGTGACCTGGCCTGCCTGGCACAGAGAAAGCTCACAAGCCAGCCCCTACCCAGAGACACACAGAATCCCACACGCTCCCTCCCGCCTGCTTCGCTTCCTGGCCAGGCCCCGCTCTGAGCCCTCTGAGGCCTCCCGCCCGGCTCGGTGAGAAGGGGTGTCAATGACCCCTCTGTTCTAGGGCCACCCCTCCTCTCACTGGGGCTGGACACTCACCGGGGACCCAGGCAGACCGGGAGGCCCAGCTTCTCCCTGCAGAGGGGAAGACACCCACATGTAGCAGCGTCTCCTGAAAGGTGGGGCCTAGGGGGGGTGCAGCTGGCCCCAGAGGCCCCAGTGGATGACATGCAGGCACCCCAAGTCATCCACATTTGGGGGTGCCTCCCCTCTGGGGTTAGACACGGAGGTGGGAGCTGGGGGCAGGGGGAGCTGGACAGCCGGGGCTCAGCCCCTACAGGGCCCACCCTTGACGACCATTTGAGGGCAGAGGGACAGAGCCTCCAGGAGAAAGGGACTGTCATGCAGCAGCCCCCATTCAGCCTAAGAAGCTTCAGAGGGTGGGCTGTGGGCACTGAGAGGCCGCCTGCCTCTCAGGCAGCCCCCCAGTCTTGCCGAGGCCCAAGGAGGCACCCCAGTCCCCCGTGACCACTAAGCCTGACACCCTTTAACTGAGGCTTCCAGGGCAGGTTTTTAAGGGGGAGCCCCCCCCCCGAAGGAATGACTCAACTTGACTCGGGTCAGCTTGGGAGCCTGGGGGCCCAGGGGCCCAGGCCTGGTTGGGAGGAGCATGGGAGCCAGCCCTGGGGCACGCTGCCCTCCCCCACCCCACTCCCACGGGGCTGTTGCTGAGCACCCTGTGGGTCGGGGTCGGCCAGGCCTGGGGTAGATAGGAGACCCCAGGCCATCCAGGCCCTCGGACACAGAGAGAGAGGCTGAGGGACCGGTCAAGGGGGCTCCTGCGGCACATTATGGGTGAGGAGAGGCCTGGAGCACCTTTCATGCTGGTGGCTGTACTGGGGGTTCACCCCAGACGGTCCTGGGGGAGGCAGGCTGCAGGACGGGGCCGCCCTTGACCTGGGATGCCCTTGGAGGGCACCGTGTCTGGGGCAGAGCCAGCTCCCAAGTCCCCTCCACCGCCTGGGCCCTCACACCTCAGTGCCCAGTACCAGCCCAGAGACCACCGAGCGGCGCCCCTCCCCCTGTCTGTGGACACAGTCCCTGTGGGGTGAACCCTGAGCGGGTGCAAGGGCCGTCTGTGTCCCATTTCGCAGCCCTGGCCAGTGGGGCTTGGTTTTGAGTCCATCAGGCCTGGGGGCTCGGGGAGGCTGGGCCGGGCCAGAACCCCATCGAACCCTCCCGGCCCTTCCCACCCCCGAACTCACGTCAATGCCATCCTTGCCAGGCTTCCCAGGTGGCCCTTGGGGGCCGGGGGGGCCTTGAGGTCCCACTTTCTGAAATGGAGAAATGTCATTAGGCATTTGTGCCCTCCCCCCTCTGGTGGGGCAGGTCCCCCGGGCTGGCCTCGGGTCAGCCCAGCAGCGTCCCCTCTTCCTGGGTCCCGAGCCCCCGACCCACGCCTGCCTCCGAGGCCCCCCCAAGGCCTCGGGCTGGCGGTATCTGCTGTCGGTCTTCGGCCAGGAGGGGCTGCGCCACGGCCCCACGGGGAGCCTAAGGAACAAAGGCGACATTGTGCCTCTGGTGGCGGCGGACCCTGGGCCGGGCGAGGACAGGGCAGCGTTCCGGGCTCGGCGAGCTGTCCCGGCGTCCGCGGGGACCCGGTGGGGCGCCCAGACTCGGCCCTGCGGCGAGGCCGGCTGCCGGGTCCCCACGCGTCCCGGGCTCCAGGCTCCCTCGCGCGCGGGGCGGGGGGAGGGTCCCCGGCGGCTGCTCGACGCCGGCGCCCAGCCCCGCGCTCCCGGCCCCGCCGCTGCCCCGCCGCCCGCTCACCTGCGCCCCGGTCCCGGTCAGGGCGGCGGCCAGGAGCCGCGCGAGCAGGAGCAGGGCCAGCGTGGGGGCCCCGGCCATGGCTGCGGCCGCGCTCTCAGCGGCTCCGGGCGGCTCTGGGCGGCGGGGCTGGGGCGCCGGGGCTCGGGCGGGCGGGCGGGGCGGGGGCGGCGCGGGCCCCCGGCCAGGTCCCGCCCCGCGCGCACAAGCCCCCCATTCAGCCGGGCCCACCTGGGGCTTCCGCCCGCCCGCTCCCCGCTCCCGCCCCGCGCCGCCGCGAAGAAAGGAGCCCAGTGGCAGCCTCTGGCCAGCCTCGGAGTTAAAATTATCCCGACGGGTGAGCTGCACACTCGTACCTTTGAGCGGGAAAGAAAGACCCTCTTTTCTCTCCTGTTCCTCGCCAGGGTGTGGACGGCCCCCTGAGGGGCCCCGCGGGAGGAGGGGCGGCGGGAGCCTCCCCCCAGGGGGACCTCCCAGGACGGGCCCCCACAGCTGGTCCCTGCCCCGGGCCCTGCCGTGGGCCGAAGTCTAGGGCCGAGCCTCCCATTCCTGGGGTCCTGCCTCCAAACTGTCACTATCCGGATGGTCGGTCCATCACGTCCTCCGTCCCCGGCAAGGGCCACACTCTTCTCCGGCTCTGCCTCCCCCCCACCCCCAGCGCGACGAAGTGGTGGCCCTGGCAGAGGAGGGAGGCATCGCCATGGCCGTGGGGCCGAGCAAAGGCGCTGAGGGACGGGCCCCCTAAGGCTGCTGTCGGCCGGTCCCGCTTTTCACAAGCCTCGGGCAGCCCGGGGTCCCCGGATTCGGGCAAACTCTGCTTCACCCTGGGAGGGCATAGGAACGGCAGGGCGGCCCCCGCGGGGTCTCGCCGACCCGGGCCACCACAGGCCCCCTGGTTCGCAGGCCCTCGGCCCCCAGGCAGGCAGGAAGCGCAGACGTCCCGTCCCGGAGATGCTGCTCGCGGCTTCGCAGCTGCACGGACTCTCCCCCCTCATTGTTTCACTAGCGAAGTGCAACAGCGAGGGACGCCGAGTCCGGGACGGTCTGATCCGTAACCGGTGAGCACCTGAGAAAGTCACGACTCTGGACCGTCCGTACACGGGCTTCATGTCCGTGGGGGACCCCAGGACTTCTGAGGTGCCGAGGGTTCCCACGGGACCAGTGAGTAGAAAACGCAAGGGATGGAGGGGGAAGCAAAGGGGTTCAGGCAAGATCTCACTCCCCACTGGGGTAGACTGGGCGGCTCCCTCCCGCGCAGCCTCGGCCCGGATGGGAGGGTGCCGGGCGGGTGCCGTGGATTCCATCCCGGGTGGGGGGGGCAGGGAAGCTCGAAAGCTCTTGCCCTCCAGCGGAGTTCGGTCATCCTAGGACACCCCCAGACAGGCGGGCCATCCAACCCCGACCCCCAAGCCGGCAGCCTGGGGAGCCCCCCCATCTCCCCTGGGCCATACCTGCCCGGCCCACCTCCCCCACCCCCATGCTGGATCAGACTCAGAGGACGCCCACCTGGCCTTCACCGGGGTCAAGGGAGGGACGTGGTGGCTGAACCCCTGCCCCACCCACACCCCCACCCATCCCTCACTCCACAGCCCCCCCCCCATGGAGAGCTGCCCCACCTCGAAGCTCCAGCGGCCACAGCAGTCCCCACACCCGGTGCCACCAGGCAGAACCAAAGCATCATCCATCAGTTTGGGGGGGTCGGGGGCCAGAGCTGCCCTCCAGGCCCTAGGTCCCCACTGCTGGGCACACACACCATTCCTAGGGTTGCTCCAAGGGGCTCTCCCTCCCAGGTTTGTGCTGCTTTATTGAACCTGTGCCCCATAAGGGTCCAGTCTTAGGATTCTCACCACTAGGGGTTCAGCAGGACCCTGCTGAAGACTCAGTGCTGGACGTCCCACACTCATCTTGGTGCCTCAGGTTCCCCTCTGTGCTGGAAACTCCGTCACTGAGCCAAACAGGAGTTCACGCACCCTTGGTCCTGCCCATCCCGGCAGGTGGGGGTCGGGGTTGGGTCAGCGGCATGGGGTACACCCCTCCCCAGCTCCCGCACTGGGGAACATTAACTCAGGGGCTTTCCCTCCCCCAAGATGATTTTGTTTGTCCCCCCCCCCCCCAGGACAGGAGCTAACCATCAATGCTCTTCATGAGAATGGAGCCCAAATCTAGCTAGTAACTCTCAGAGGGAACTGTGTCCCCCCAACCCCCCTGAGAGCTGTGACCCCCATCATTTCATTTCTTCAAAGGCAAGCACGTGGGCCTCTGCAGGCCCCACACCCCGCTGGTGCTGATGCAGAAATGCCAGCGTGTCAGGAAGGGAGGGTCCTGGTCCCGGGGGACAAACCCTGGCTGAGAGCCAGCCGTGCCTTGAGGACGGGGTGGGGTGCTATGCCCATGCCAGGTCGCCAGGTCGGGGGGTGGTCAAGGAGGCCCCAAAGGCCGTCCGGGTGTGGAGGGTTGCTGTGGCTGCCAGGGTAGGGACAGAGGAGACAGGGCCACAGAGAAGGCTGGGGAGCTTGCCCTGAGGTGCCACACTGCACCCCAAGTCAGGGCAGGCAAGGGCACTCCCAAACCACTGCTCCCCGCCCAGCCCACCCAAGGGAACTGTGCGTGAGCCCCCAGCTTCACTCTTAAGCCAGTGACAAAAGGCAGCCAAGGGACCAAGGGCACGGGGCTGGGGGTCCCGGGAGGCTGTGCGGCCCGGGGGCCCAGAGGACAGACGTGTGTCCAGGGGTCAGTACCACTGCTGTTTCCCCGGCGGCTCACACCGCCAAGTGGTGCCACCACTGGGTTGGCGGCTGCCCAAGGGGAGGAAGCCCCAGGGGCGGCACCGCTCAGGGAAGGGCCCCCCCGCCCCCCAGCCCAGGCTGCCCACAGGACCGCTGTCCACGCCCAACCCGCAAAGTCAAATGAGTTTATTCAGAAAAGGCCTCGGCACCAGACTAAGAAAATGAACCCCACTCCCGCCCCCAGACCCTTAGGGGCCAATTTACAAAGAGGGGCGGGGGCGGGGGCAGAGAGGAGGGAGGCGGGCGAGTGTGAGGTGAGGATTCGAGTCCGGCGAGTCCGGCCGTCCCGCTGATGCCCGGCCCGCTGCCTGCGACCCCGCTGCTGGAGGAGTGGGCGGGGGCCCCCACAGCTGTGGCGGGGCCAGGGGGCACGGGCACGCTTCCCTTAAGGTTTCCGGGGTTTGGGCTAAGGCCCCGGCTCAGCCTCCTTATCTACTGGGGGTCCAGCGCTGGCTGAGCTCCCCGGGGCGGCCTGCTCCGGCCCCCGCCCGCCTTCTGCCTCCTGCACCCCCTCCTCGGCCTCCCAGGCCTCAGCGCACCCTGGCCCCTCGGCCCCCTCGGGCCCCTCCCCGCCGTCATCCCCACCGTCCCCCGGGGCACCGCCGCCCGGGCCCTGGTCCACCTTCCTTCTCTTCCTCACCTCTTCGGCCACCTTGGGCCCCGGGGCCTGGGGACAGGGCCGCTCGGCCTCCCCGGCCCGCTCCTGGGCGCCCCCCGCCAGGCCGCCCTGGCTGAGCGCGCAGCCCTCCAGGTTCAGGGCGATCTTCTCCACGTCCGAGGCGCCCTGGGCGCCCGGCTCCCCCGGGGCCTGCTCCCGCCGGCTCGCCTCTAACTTCCTCTTCTTGCTCTCCTTGGGGCTCAGGGGCTCCGGGCCCGCCTCCCCGCGGCCCCCCGCACCCCCTCCCTGCTCCCCGTCCTCGGCCCCGCCGGCCGTTGCGGGCGGGCGGGGGTCCCTGGGGTTGGGGGGCGGCCGCAGGCGGCGCAGCTTGTCGTGGGGTCCCCAGACGAACTTGCGCCGCGGCCGGAAGTGCTCCCAGGCGAAGCGCAGCAGCTGGCGGCGCTGGCGCGGGCAGCGCACGGTGAACACGAAGTAGTCGAGCGCGCTCTGGCGCACGGCCGGCAGCTCGCGGCGCACCAGCGTCTCCTCCAGGAAGAAGCGCGCCAGGGGCGCCTGGTAGTGCGGCAGGCCCAGCTCGCCCAGGGACTTGAGGATGCGCGTGATGCGGAGGTTGTTGTGGCTGTGCCTGCGGGGGAGCAGGGCGCTGGTGGCACGGGGACCCTCCGCAGTCTCCGCCGCCCTCGCGGCCCGGGCCGGCTGGTGCAGGTGGGGCTGTGACACAGCCCTTGGCCCTGTGGAACTCCTCCACCCCCGGCCGCGCTGCAGGAGAGCTGGTGGGGGGGGACCCTCCACAGTCCTGGGACTCACACAGGGGCTGTTACCCGCGTGTCATCAGCGGATCCACCCCCGCCCTCCTCCCCACCCAGTGCTTCTCAGCAGGGAGGGGTGACGGGGTCTGTGTCTGCAAAGCTCACTGAGCAGTGGGCACCCTGCCCCACACCAGGAGGTGGAGGGGCACCGTTACTGACACTGACTGTAGGACTTTCTTTAGGTTCCTCACACCCTATCACCTGGGGCTACCCAACCCTGCAAACAGGGAGGGTGCTTAGAGCCTCAGTCCCTTGGCCCGGTGCCCCAGTGTCCCTCCTCCCCCAAAGTGCCCCCCTATACCTGCTGACCCCCAGTACAGCCCCAGCCCCCTCAACTGGGGAGGGGCGAGGGGCAGTCCTTACCAGTTGAGGTTCTGGAAGCGCTTCTGGTAGTTCTGTGCTCGGCACACCTGCCCCGTGTCCCGGTCCTCCAGCTGGATCCCGTAGAACCCCAGCATGAGCTCGTAGGCCTGGACGAACCGCTCCCTGACCTCCTTGGAGCTTTTAAATGCCTGGAACACACCCCGCCGAGGCCAGTGGGGAGCTCAGGGCCCTTCATTGGCACACCAGGCTGGCTGACGCCTCCCTGGGGCCCTGGCTCATCTAGAGGCTTCCACTCAGACTTTGGGGTCAAGGGATAGGGTGCGGGAGCCCAGAGAAGCATTCACGATGGAAGTCTTCGTCTAAGCTGCTGGGAGGTCTCATGGGGGCCTGGCGTGTCTGCTTTAGCCCCCAGAGGAATCTGCCATCCCCTGGGACAGCTCAGCGGGCCCCCAGGGCTGAGCACACGGCCGACACACCCTGTGTCCTCGGCTCCCCCGAGCCTCCCATCCCTCCCAGAGTGTCCTGTTCCTGCCCCAGCCAGGTGTGACGAAGCCCCGTCACCATGATTCTGTGCACAGCCCAGGCCCTGGACTCCCCGAATTGAGGCAAACTGCTAGAGAAAGCCAGATTTCTCTAGAAGCCTGGGGGGAGCACCGGGGGCAGAGGCAAGGACCAGCGTGGAGGGAAGGGGCTCCCGGGGCAGGCACAGCTTCCCAGCCTCCATAGCTCACCTCGACCTCCCGGAGCGTGAGGGGCTTGGCGTGCCAGTTCACTCCGGGTTCACGCAGAGGGAAGAGCCTGTGGGAGAGGACACGGCACAGGTCCCATCGGTGGCAAACTCGGGCTTCCGGCCACGGGCACACGCTCACCACCCTCTCTGGGTTCACAGCCCAAGCCCAGGAGGGCCCGGCTGCATGACTGCGTGATGTGGGCTCTCACGAGTCCCAGGTAGGGGTGAGGGCAGGAAAGCTGCAGGCAGGGTTAGGGGCTGGGCACGGAGTGTACACGTGCCAGGAAGTCTGTGCGCCTGCTCACGGCCCTGGGCAGGGTGCCCCAGGCTCTCCTCTTTATTCTTTCTTTTCCAAGATATATTTATTTTTAGAAAGAGTGTGGGCGTGTGGGGGAGGGGCAGTGGGAGAGCCGACGAAGTCTCAGTCCCCTGCTGAGCACAGAGCGTGACCGGCTCCATCTGGACCCTGAGATCACGACCTGAGCCGAAACTCTTTCCGACCGACCCCCCCCAGGCGCCCCTCCTCTTTATGTTCTTTGTCTTGTCATCAATGCTGAGCTATTGCCCACGATGCTCTGTGCCCAGGGGAGGCCCCCAACATGCCATCTTCAAACGCACCCTGTGTTTGTGGGGCGATGTCAAGGGTCCCCAAGGCAGTCGTGCTGGCAAGGATCACCTGAGGCCACTGTTAGAACCCTGCCACCCCGAGCGTCCACGCAGCCTCTTGGCACCGGGGCCCACCCCGGAGGCCGGCCTGCCTGCTGCTCCTTCTGTCCCTCACGTGCGCTTCGGGCTCCCAGCCTCAGAGGCTCGGGACAGCCTGCAGGACAGTGGGGCCCCGAGCACAGGCGAGCGCCCTAAGGCAGGCTCTGGAAAGGCAGAGGGCCCCTGCTCCCCAAGACCGCCCCAGCCCCCCAACCCCCCCACTCACCACTGGATGTAGGAGTGATTCTCCTCGAGGAGGTCATAGTCCGTCCTCCAGTTTTGAAGAATGTCTTCGATGAAACAGCCTGGGGGCCCCCACGGGGACATGTCAGTGAGGAGCAGCTGGAAGCCCGCCTCTTCCCTCCACTGTCCCCCAAGGACCCTGGGGCTCGGAAGCCTGCACTCCTCTCCTGTGCCATCACCCCCCAGACAAGGCCCCTGATTTCTCTGCAGTCTGGACATGGGAAGCTCACTGCTCACTGAGGGTGAGGAGGCCCCTGGGGGGAAGGACACGGGGCTCCGGACCGCACCCGCCGTGCGGAAAGCTGGCCTCCCCGCCCCCTGCCAACTACGGCCTGCAGGCTGACCCCCGACCTCCCGCAGAACCCCACCCCGCGGCCCGGCCTCCCGGGGGCGGCCGCTGTCCTGCAAAGGGCCGGACAGGGAAGCGTCGAGGCCGCTGTCCTCTGCTGCGCTTAGTGGGAAGGCGGCCTCAGGCAACGCTCGAGCGACGGGCGGTCCCGCCAGACTCTCCCGAACGGCCACGGACACTTGAATTTCATATAATTTTCACGTCACACGATGCCATTCCACCTCAAGTCTTTTCCAACCATTTAAAAATGTACCAAGCGCTCTTCCCGGTGAGTGTGCACGCGGCTTTCCGCTAAGGCAGCAGAGCGCAGGAGCCACCGGAGGGCTGGCCCTTCCCAGGGCACCCGGGGCAGCCGGGGCGTCCCCTGGGGGCCTCCGGGGGCGCCGCGGGGCCGGGCTGGCGAGGTCCCCGCAGGGCGGCCGCCCCCACGACGGAGCTGGGGCAGCCCAGCAGGCGCGCACCGTTGGGCAGGAACCGGATCTCGTTTCTGTAGAAACTCAGGTTTGGCATGTCACCGTTGCCATCCCGCTCTATCAAATCCTGGAGAGCCAGAGAAGGGTGCCCGTCGGAGCGCCTCCAGCCGCAGGCTGCCTCCCGGGCCCTCACACTAGAACGTTCCCCGGGGAAGGCGGGTCTGCTCTCGGCCCGCCCACCTCCGATGTCCTCAGCCTGGGCGCCCCGCCTGCAGGGGAGGACAGCAGCTCCCCAGGACCAGCACCTTCCCCTCACCACCAGCGTGGGCCAGGGCTGGCGGGTCCCCTACACCTGCGCCCCGAAACTCACGGTGCAGAGGGCGGGGCTGAGGGCTACAGGAATGCCACCAGCGTGGGCCCCAACACGCGGGGCCTTGTAGGGAGGTGCCGTGGGCTGCTGGTCCCCTCGGTGGACAGGCAAGGGTGCTGAGGGTCAGACAGCTGGCCGGCTGCGCCTGCCACACTGAGTAGGGAAAGGAGCGGTGCCCCAGTAGGGACATGGGACCTCGTCTGAGAAGAGGGGCCGAGGGACACACTGTCCAGACGGCCTTCTCCGGGTGGAGGGTGGGAGGGTTCTGTCCCAGGAGGGCTGCCGAGATGTGAGGGCGCCACGGGCAGCTGCTACCTACCGGGTACTGGTGCCGGTACCTGCGTGTGTCCCGCATGGCTCGCCAGTTTCGGGACCCCAGCATCCTGGTCTGCGTAGAGAGGAGAGGGAATGAGACCCCCATGGGAGACCCACCAGGAGGCAGGACCCACCCCTAGTGAGCCCCCATCATAGAAAGAGCAGCGAGGACCAGGGTCAGTGATCGACAAAACCAGAGGGGACGGGAGGGATTGGGGAAGGCCTGCCCCCTGCGCGGGCTCTGCTGCCCGCCTCAGCTCTCAGGACTCCCAGGCTGAGTGGCACGTTCTTGGGGTGCACCCCACCCCACTTCCTACTCCCATATGTGCTGGCTACCTTCACTTGGGCCACAGCTCCAGGACCTCCCCCAGGGAACTTCCCCGCCACTTCCTCTCTGCACTGTGCTCTAGATTATCACCAGGCTCGTGTCCCCAAGGGCAGTGGCCTCACAGCTGACCACCCCGGGAGGGGCCCCAAACACTTGTCTGACAAAGGAATGAATGACTGAGGCCCAGGGAGCCAGTCTCTACCCAACCTCAATGCTCATGGCCCAGACCCTGTGTCTCCGGGCCTCCAGGCCTATAGCTGTGGGGGAGAAGGGGGCTTCTCAGCAAGACACAGAAGCTCCCCACTGCTCCCCCAACACCTATAGCCCATGTCTCTGCAGCCCGGGCACCCCGGGGGCCTGGGAAGGATGGAAGTAACTGTCCACCAGGGTGCTAGGTAAACGCAGCTTGATCCACCCCGTTACAGGGTGGGAAGCACTAGTGAGGCTGAGCCTGGCTTGAGGTCTGACCGCAGCTGGGGAGGAGAATGCCCAGGCAGATACAGCTCCTGGGTGTGACCAGAGGGCACGGCTCCTGGGCGTGGCCAGAGGGGACAGCTCCAGCCACGGAAATACCTGGGTCCCAGGATCCTGGAAGGAGCAAAAGAGCACTGGGAGGGGAGTCAGGAGGCCAGGCCTACACCGCGCCCCCTGGCTCTGGCCCCATGGCCAGTCCCCAAGATGCTCCAAATGGTTCTGAGCTCCAGCGAGGGTCTGGGGGCGCCTCTCCGCCCAACTGCCCAAGCTGGTGATGTCCTCGCCCGCCAGCCCAGGGCGAGCAGAGAAAGCAAAACTGAGAAGCTGGCCCTGCCCACCATCAGTTTCCTGTTCTCGGCCTCCCTGGGGCCCCCTGGGCGCTTCCCCAGGTCAGCTCAAGAGGGCACCAAACAGCCATGCCACGGCCCAGTGCGGGGCAGCTGGGGGTGCTACGGGGTGGTGGTGGGGGCTCGGGGATTGGGACTCGCAGGGGGACAGAAGCTGTAGAAGTCAGAGGACTGCGGGCATCTCACGGGGTGGCCGAGGTGCCAGAGCACTGCTTTAGGAGCGGGGCCGTGGCACTACGGCCAGGACAGTGTCCTCGCACTCAACCCAGTCCAAGCGGACCCCAGCCGACTCCAGGCCCCTGCCCCGGCCTGCTTCCTCAAGAAGCTCATCCTGCCCCGAACACCGAACACCGCAGACGCGCTCGGCCTTCTGGGCTTCCTGGCCGCGGGGCGCCTCTCGCCGACCCCTGCCCGACACAGATCCGCCTCCACCCAGAGCTCTCCTCTGCCGGGCGGAGAATCCGGCCCAGAGACCCCAGAGACCGCAGCCTGCAAACCCACACACGGGGCGAGCACCCGTCCTCCACAAGCCACAGCTACGGCGCCAGGTCCTCCATCCTGCCCGGAACCGCAGCCGGGCCCGTCCTTGCACGGGGCGCAATGCCAGGCCCGGGGAGTGCCAGCCCCCCTCGCCCCCCCCCGCCCCCCCCACCGGCCAGGAGCAGAGACGCTAGTAACAAAAGTAGCCGGTGGTGGCCGCGGGCCCAGTGGCAACAAAAGTAACTGGTAGTAACGAGGGGTAACTAGAGCAACAAAAGTAACCATGGTAACGAGTAACCAGCTGCGACAAAAGTAACCCCCGGTCTCAGGCCGTCGCGGGTAGCAAAAGCGTCCGCTGGTCGTGACAGCCAGCCGGTAACCGCGGGTCAGCCCGGCCGGGGCAGGCCTAGCTCGGGCAAGCGCGGGGCCTGCGGGGGGCGCGGGGCCGGGAGCCGCGGCTGGGGGCGCGGGGGCAGGCGGCGGGGGGCGGGGGCGCCGGGCCGGGGGTCGCCCACGGCACCGCGAGCGAGGGTCGGTCCCGCGGCCGGGCCGGGGCTGGGGGGCGCGGGGCGGGGGCGGGGGGCGGCGGGCGGGGGGCGGCGGGCGGGGGGCGGCGGGCGGCGGGCGGGGCTGCACCTGGAGCGCGCCGGGCCGCGGCGGCCGCGCGTCCTCCTCGTCCTCGTCCTCGTCCTCCGCGTCCGCGTCCCCCGGGGCGCCGGCCTCGCCGTCCTCGTCGCCCGCCGCGCTCGGGCCCTCGCCGTCCTCCTCCTCGTCCTCCTCCCAGGTCGAGTCGCAGTCGGGGTCGTCCATGCTCGGGCGGCGGCGGCTCCGCGCTCGGGCGGAAGCGAAAGTGAGCGAGGGAGGAAGCGCGGGGGCGGGCCCAGGCCGGTGGGCGGGGCGGTGGGCGGGGCGAGCCGGGGGCGGGCGGGCCTGCGGGAGCGAGGCGGGCTGGTGGGCGGGGCGAGGGGCGGGGCCGAGCCTGTGGGCGGGGGGCGGGGCCTGTGGGCGGGGCCGGGGCAGGCCTGGAGGAGCGAGGCGGGCTGGTGGGCGGGGCCGAGCCTGTGGGCGGGGCCGGTGCCTGTGGGCGGGGCCGGGGCAGGACTGGAGGAGCGAGGCGGGCTGGTGGGCGGGGCGAGGGGCGGGGACGAGCCTGTGGGCGGGGCCGGGGCAGGCCTGGAGGAGCGAGGCGGGCTGGTGGGCGGGGCTAGGGACGGGGCCTGGCCTGGGGAGCGGGGCGGGGCGGGCCTGTGGGCGGGGCCGGGGCGGGTCGAGGCCGCCCTCCGCCCGGAGGATGTCCCCACTCCCGGAGCATCCCTCCGGAGGACGTCCGCCCCGTTCCGGCTGAAATTCCTCCCAGGTGTCTCCCCCGGCCCTGCCCGCCGGTGATTCCTCCCAGGAGGATGCTCCCCACCCGGGATGTCCCCCCCAGGAGCCCCCACGATATCCCTTCCCCCTGGGAGAATGTCCCCCCTGAAGGATGTCTCCCTGAGGTTGTCCCTGGAGAACGTCTTCCCCCGGGGGAATCCTTCCCAGAATATCCACCACCACCCTCATCCATCCCTGGGCAACCCCCTAGACACTTCCCCCAAAGTCCTCTCTGAGAATATCCCTCCCTGGAACATGTCCTTCCCAGGATGCAAGGGATGTCCCTGGCGGATGCTCATCCTAGAGAATCACTCCCAGAATACCCCCCAGTTCAATACCCCACCCACCCACCCTGGAAGCCTCCCCTGGAGGATTCTCTCCCAGAAGGATGCCTGCCCCCGGGGGATGTTACCCCGTAGGGATGACCCCCAGGAGGGTACCCCCTGGAAGCCATCCTCCCAGAAGACGCCCCCAGGATATCCTCACCCACGATACCCCCCAAGTGTCGGTGGGGTTTGGGTCTCATTAGAGGCTCCTTTGGGGAGCAGTCTGCCTCCACCACCCCCCAGACTGTAGGCAGAAGTCATTCCTGGGGGACTAAGGCGGAGAGCTCTGTGTCCCTCCATAGTCGGTTGACAACAGGGCCGCTGGCTTCCTCAGGGCGCCGAGAGTGCTACAGTGCGCCGTCACTGGGGGCCCAGACTCTGTCTCTTAGCCGCAGTCTCTCAGTGGTAAGAAGGCCCAGGTGCTGCCTGCACTTAAGGGAGACCCGACAGCAGGATGCAGAAATGACTGGGGGTCACCCCGAGGCCGTCCAACACATGTGACAGCTAGGCACCCCTCAGGGGCCTGTCCAGGGGCTGGGGGGCGGCTGCTGGCAGCTGCCCTCTTTACTTACACACGCACATTTCAGACACCTGTTCAGAGGCAGGTGTAGGCTAGAAATCACCTTCAGCTGCAAGCCTCCCAGAGGCTGCGGGTCCCTCGCTAGTCTCCTCCTTGACCTGTGCTGGTGGTCACAGGAGCTGCAGCCACGCTGGGGACCCACCCCTAGAATGAAAGGTGGGGGGGTGACCCCCCTGGCGGCCTGCTGTAGCTAATACACCACTTTATTGTTTCAAAAGGCTTAGCTAAAACTGAATCCTGGCTTTTAGATGGATCTGGCCATGAGGGTGAGTCCTGGGGTCAAGCCCAGCCCCCCAGGGACGCTGATTGCTCAGCTCCCTGCCAGCCAGCTCACAGGCCCTAGGCCGCCTGCACAGCCAGTGGCCGCCCAGAGCTCACCAGAACCTTCCCAGCTCGGCTGTGGGCACAGCTGCAGGACTTTCCTGGGGATCCTCATTCATTCTCTGGTTTGCTCTCACCTGGCTGGACCTGGTGTTCGCACCACCCCACTTCTTGTAAGGACGATGGGGACTCCCCAGAGGTACGGACATCTGGGCCTGCCTGCCTGCTTCCTTCCTCCCTTCCTGCTTCCTTTTTCCTCCCTCCTCCCTCCCTTCTTCCTGCCTCCCTCCTTCCTTCCTCCTACTTTCCTTCTTTCCTTCTTTCCTAGATTTATTTATTTGAGAGAGAGAGAGAGAGAGAGACAGGAGGGAGGGTGGGGCAAAGGGAGAGGGAGAGAGAGAGAAACCCAAGCGGACTCTGCCCTGGGCGCAGAGCCAAGACCTGAGCTAAAACCAAGCGGTCGCTGGAACGACAGAGCCACCCAGGGGCCGCCTTCTGGGCATTTCTGCACGCGGTCGGCCACAGAGGCCAGGGCAGGTCTCAGGGGAGCGGGCAGCCTGTGCGCATGTGGCAAGGCCGGCCCAGGGCGGATTGCCAACAGGGGCCTGGCCTGCGGGTCACCTGACGGACAGCTGGCCCTGGAGCCCCTGGCTCTGACGGCCCGGCAGGTGGCAGCAGGAGCCTCCGACAGAGGTGTCATGTGTTGGGGGCAGCAGCACAGGATGTAGCTGCTCTGAGAGGCACTGGGGGGAGGCTGGGCCTCAGCCCTGCCCCAGAAAACGGAGACAAGCGGGTGGCACAGCGACATCTTGCTTGGTCGTCGCAGCCGGTGCTCAGAGTGGCCCTGCGCTGCGGCCAGCGGGGCCGGGACTACAGACACCCTGAATGGCTGCTCTTAAGACATCGCCCCATTGCTGTTTCACAAGAACTGGTGGCAGCCAGCTGTGCCTTCCGTTCCTCTGCTCTTCTGTACCGTGCGCCCGGGCCCGCCTCGGGCCTGCTGAGTGGGAGCCAGATCCTGCCGCAGGATGAAGCGGGAGCCACCGTCCGTGCTAAAGACGTGGCCGTGTGCCCTCCGCGGCCTGGGATGGCCGCTGCTTGCTGCACGGGGGCGCGGGGGGCCGGGCGGGGGAGCTGTGCTGCAGGGTGGCCCGCTCCCCGCCGCGGGGTCCCGCGGATCTCCCAGGCAGAGCCAGTTGCAGCCAGTCCCCAAAGTCCGGCCAAAGTCCGGCCAAAGTCCCATCCCCACCCCACCCGCCCCAGGGAGCCCTGCTGCACCCCACTGCTGCTCAGTATGTGCTCCGTGGTGGGGGGTGAGGCTGGCCCAGAGCCTGGGGAGCTGAGACCACCCCCCACCCCCGGGACAGGGGCTGCTCCATTCCTGTCTTGGCCCGCAGCCTCTGCAGGTCCCTGTCTATGCGGACCACGCAGACCACGTGGACCACTGTGCTTCCCTTTGTTCTGAGGCCTCCTCACCCCTTGGGCCTCATCCCATCTCTAGCCTCCAACTCATGTGAGGGCGTCGTGAGGCCCTGAGGCCCCGGGAGGTTCAGCTCCCAGATGCCTGTGAGCTCCACCTGCCCCGACCGCACCAGCATGCACCCTCGACGGGCCGCGCTGTGCGGGAGCCGAGACCGCGTGGGCCCGCCAGGTCGGGGTGCTTGGGCGGCCTCACCCCTGCCGAGGACTGCAGCCCCTGCAGGCACAAGGGCATGGGGACGGGGCTCCAAAAGGACGCCTGAGGCTGAGGGGCCACCGGCTCACCCACCTGCTTTGATGGGCATGTCCTGCCCGGCCCTCCCCGCAGGTCTGATTTACTGACCAGGCTTTTCCAGCACATTCTGAGGTGCCTGAGGATACTGCTTCAGGTGGGGGTTTACCTGGCAGCCTGGGGAAGACCCCCCACCTTTGTTGGGACCCTTGGCTACCACAGAGCCATTTGCCCCGTTTCCCTGCCAGTTCCGAATCTCGAGGGACCAGGCTTCTCTCGGGCACCACAACGGGCGCCGCAGGACCTGGCGCAGAGCGGACCCTGGCTGCCGTGGCCCCTGACACGCACGGAGCATGCTCCCTGCCTGTGCGCACAGAGCGACAGAGGGCCCTGCCTGCGTGCCCGGGGGGTGAGCCTGGGTCGACCATGGACCGCAGGTCTCATGGGCCCGCCTCTTAGAACACGGAAGAAACGCCAGTGGCAGGAGCGCATGGGGAAGCGGAGCAGCCTTGGATCCCGTCCTAGCCCCGACCAGGCTCTTGCTCAGGTAGATCCGTGCAGGAGGCCCGCCCCCCACCCCCCAGGCACCCGGTCCCCCCAGGCCCTTGGCCTCCCATCCCCAGCCCCCAGCCCCCCACCTCCCAGATCCCCAGCATCCCAGCCCCCCAGGCCCCCGGCCCCCCAGCCGCAGGTCCACCTGTGCTGAGCTGGCACTCCTGGTTCAGGAGCAGGGCCGCAGGGCCGGGCTAGCCCTGTTCAGCTGCAGCCCCAGGTTCTGTGCCAGGGTCCCGGGCCCCGCAGGCGACGGTGGGCTTGGTGCAGGCCGGCCTCCCACCGCGCTGGGCTGCCCCGAAGTGTGCGGGGCGCGAGCCTGGGCCTGGTGGGCTGCACCGCTGCCCGCCTCCTGCTCCCAGATGGTGGCTGGGCTTTCACCTTCCCCGAGACTTGTCAAGATGAAGAGCCTGGGACTTGGTGGCTGACCCGGGGGGCGGGCGCCTCCTCCTGGCTCTGCCTGGATGACTGGACCCTCCCCGTGCAGCACAGACTCAGCCCGGAGTCTCACGTCCCGGGAGGCCGAGCCAGCGGCCGGCTCTGCTTGTTTGCTGTGCTAGCACTTTGTATCAGCAGGACTTGTCACAGTCGGCAACAAAGTTTCCACTCCGCCGGTTTCCGCTTGGTGCATACATTGTAGCCGGTGAACGCGGGGAGGCCGCGTGGAGGCTGCCTCATGCACCTTGGAAAAATCCGCTTCCTGCTGTTAGGAAAGGGAACTTATTCTGGCATCAAAATCACAAGACTCTGGCTGCTTCTCTTGTGCTTTAATGGTCGGCACTCAAACGAAAGCGTGTCAACGGCCCGGCCTGCGCCTCCCTCCACACACTCATTTGGTCTGTTCGCAAGTTACCGGGTGATACAAAAATAGCCCGTACAAACTCTGTTTCCCGCATATAAAAACCGAGCGGAAAGGGTCTCAGTAGTCACTAACACAAAGCATCTCGGGAAAAATACAACACAGGTTTAACTTCTGCAGTATTTTTTTCATATAAAACACTAGTAAAATAGGCTTCTTAAAAATTAAATAGTGAAATACCACCAAATTATATACATCGTTACAGTACAAGTGAATGAGGCAAAGTATCCAGTTCTCGGTTTCTGGGGCGCAGGCGCTGTGCGCGGGAAGCCTGTCTCTCTCTCCAGAGGTGGCAGCCGCTTTAGGAAGAGTGGCTGGCCGACGGACAGACGGACAGAGCCGGGTCGCCCAGCAAGACCAAGGTTCCTCAAGGACGCAGCAGGCAGGGCCGCCACTCCGGGGGTCCTGCCTGGGCCTGGGCTCTGCTCCCGGGAGCCCACACGGCGGGAGCTCACTGCGGCACTGGGGAGGGGCCGGGGCCTCCTCGCCCGAGCCGGCCCCGCTCTCTCGGGCCCACCGGAGCCCCAGGTGGTCGCAGGGGGCCCTGTGGGAGCCTCAGGCACCGAGGCGGGTGGCGGGCTGGGGGCGTCCGGGGGGCCGTGGGGGGACAGCAGCGCCTGCCCCTGCGTGGCTGAGCCGCCACTACGTTCGGCGCCGCTTGGCAGCGCTGGGGCTGGAGGGGTTGCTGTTTGCCGTGAGGACTTTGTCGGTGACCCGGCTGCGCTTCCGCTTGTCCGCCCCCTCCTTGGACCCCAAGTCTGACGGGTTCTTGTCTTTGCTGGACTTCTCGGTTGCTTTCCCCAAGCTTCCTGAAGACGAAAAAACTGGGAGACAAAATCATTTGGCTGAAAACAGAATATCCAGAGTTTTATTTCATCTTCCTGCTCGGTTACAGAAACCTGCCTCTGCACGCGCGCCACCCTGAGGCGGGTCCTCCTGAGGACGGGGCCCCCTCGAGGCCCTGCGTGCAACCCCCCACCCGGCGACCCTGCCACGCGGAGCTCGCCTGTACCCGCCGCGCGCGCTTTCCGTCCGCCTGCCAGGTGCCGGGCCGAGGCTGCTCTGGGCTCACGCGTGCCATGGGCCACATGCCGCCACGCGCGGCTCCCGCTCAAGCGGGTGGAGGAGCCGACAGGGCCGCCCAGGCGGGGGACATGGGGCTGTGCCGGGGCCCAGGGGTGGGTCGGGGTGCCCCCCGCTCACCATCGTCCGCCCCGTTGTGGGGGTCCACGTCTTCCTTCATTTCCTCCTTCATTTCCTCTTCAATGACCACTTTTCCTGTGGGGCGACAGCTGACGTTTACCAAAACGGTGGGAGACGCGGCCCTGCCCAATGCTGCGGACGGCTCAGGCCGGGGACGGCTGTGTGTGTGGTTCTCAGCTGCCGCCAGGCCGCTTTTAAAGAGAGCCGATTGTTCTTGAACCAGTTCCCCCCAGCCCCCGAGGCTCCCCAGCCCACCCCCCCAGTCCACCTGGCCCCCCACCGCCAGGCCAGCGACCCTCACTCCTCCCTGAGGCCCGAGACCGTGCCCGACACCACCACCCCCGGCTCCCTCCTGCCTTCTAACCCCGAACCGGACCCGACCTGCCAGAACCTCACCTTCTCGGACTTCGTGAATGATTTCTTCCGGAAGGACGAAATTCCTCTCTGGATTTGGAAATGGAAGGATCTCAGATTCATGCTGATGGCAAAAACGATGATTTTTGTTAAAAAAACAAGAAAATATGTGATTTTACCAAGTCACCCAAACCACGAAAGAGCCCATTTAGGAGCACCCGATAAAGGCCTACAACCGTGTGGGGTGGCGGAGGCGGTGAGGGTGAGCGGGGCAGGTGCCCTTTCCGCCTGCAGTCTACAAGGAGCTAGGCTTTTCTAACGCACAAGCAGAAGGGAAAGCTATTCTGTGAAGCAGGGGACCGGCCACCAGGAGAGGTCAGGGACAGGAGGCCGGGCGGACCCCTCGCCTGGCACGCCCCTAGGGACAGGGTGGGTGCAGTGCCCACACTGCCCTACAGCGGCTCCGTCCCCATCAGAGTACATTCAAGGGCAGTGACTGCCTAGGACGCTGGTCCCTACAGCCTTAGAGAGCAGGGACTGGAGAGGCAAGCTGCCGCCTGGAAACCAACAGGCACAGAGACCCCGGAGACCCAGGACCACCGGCGGAAGGGTTAGGGGAGCTGACACAAAGGGTCTGTATGGGGCGGGGGGGCCTCTCTGCAGTCTGGGGGCTGCGTTACAGCGACCTGCTAGCCCGCAAACATGCTGACCGCTAGCTCCTGGAGCTTCAGAAACCCCGGGCCCTGGACCTCAGGTCCCCCCGGGGTGGGGCCATGGACTCACACCGCCAGGGTCCTGCCTGCCTCTGCCATCAGCCCCACAGGGCTACTGGGGTCTAAGGAGGCAACAGCCTTGAGGTCTCGCCTGGTCCTGGACAACAAGCAGGATGAAGACAAGGGAGAGGATTGGACCAAAACCCCTGAGCGGAGCCGTAGGCTTCCCAGTGTTGCATGGGCCTGCTGTGGGCGTCAGGGTCTGTCTCCCGGCTGCACCAGGGCCCCCCCCAGGACAGGGCCCCCCTGTCACCCTCACATCTGTGTCTGGCTTCTGGCCCCAGTGGCCTAGTGTCAGGGCACAGCAAGTCTGGGGACCAGGTGACCCCAGAACGTGACAGGTGTGGGGGCGAGGCCCTTGGGGAGGGGCTCCTTCAGCATGGCAGCTGGTCCTTGCTGCACTGCTCCCAACAACAGCCGCTCAACCTTTGGGCCAGGCCTCCCATCCCCGGGGCACAGCTGTCACCTTTATCCCCTCTCTAGGGTACAACAAGGACATGCCATGACCTGCCCACAGCCAACAGGAAACAAGGGAAGCCCTGGATCTGGACAGAGAACTCTGGACTCAGCTGCAGGGCTGGTGTGGCCCTGGGTCAGCCAGGGAGGCAGAGACCAACCTTACCCTGCCACAGGTTCCTACCCCTCTGCTCCCCTTTAAGTCCCACTCCCACCCCACTCCCCAGGGGGCTCTGGCCTCCTCTGAGCTCCTTGACCCACCATCTTGTGCTGCCACAGGGCCCGGACACCTGCCGTTCCTTCTGGCCCTCCTGGTTCCCTAGTGAACCTGCTTGCCTTCAGAGGACGTGAGCTGGTGGTCCGTGAGGACGGGGACCCTGCCTGGCTGCTTCCCACGGAAGCCATATTCACCTGACTTGCACTTGGCTCCGTCACCTTCCTGCCTGGAGACCCCAGGGCCTCCCGTAAGACCGACATGTCCTTAGGCCTCAGCTCCCTGGTCACTTCCCCGGGGACATGGTCAGTGACCGCCCCACGTAAAGTAGGTTCTGAGAAAGTAGCCAGTTCCCATCACCAGATTTGTGTTTTTCCTGAAACCACTTGGAGCTCCCTTAGTAACTGCTGCCCCTGGATTATGCACAGGGCACAGGGCCTCTCAAGACAAGGCCTGGCGGACACAGAAGAGAAGCTGTGTCTGGGGAAGGCGGGGGCCCTGGCCTTAGGAGGACCGGGGAGGGTGGGATCCAGCTCACCAGCGCCTGCATGTCATACATGGTGCTCAGATGGTCCCAGATAACCTTGGATGGGACCTGCCGACCAATGTTCTGGCTGAACTTGTCCCGGATACAGATCATGTGGAAGTGTCGGTTCACACCTGTGACAGAGAAGAGTCAACCTGTAAGGAGGGGAGGCTAGTAGCTAAGGGGGAAGGGAGTAGGGGGGGAGGCAGGGGTCTGCAGGGGAAGGAGAGAAAGGTAAAGATGAGGGTAGCAGGGTGGGTGTAGGAGATACAGAGGGAGAGTACAGGAGGGAGCAAGGTCCACAGGGTGGCTGGGTGGGCTCAGGAGGGGGCAGGATTGGCAGGGGTGAGTGGGCTCAGGAGGGGACAGAGGAGGGGTGCATGGTGGGCAAGAGATGGGTGGGCGTGCTCGAGGGGGCAAGCGTAGGTACAGGAAGGGTCAGGAAGGGGAAGGGTAGGGTGGGTGGGCTCAGGAGGGTACAGGAGGGGTGTCGGGGGCAGGTCAGCAGGGTCGGTGGGTGGGCTCAGAAGGGGACAGAGGAGGGTAGAATAGTGGAGGGCAGGAGGGAGCAGGGTCGGCAGGTGTGGGTGGGCTCAGGATGGTAGAGAAGGGTACAGGAGGCATAAGGAGGGGAGCAGGAGGGGACAGAAGAGGAGGTAGAGGAGGGGTGCAGAAGGGGTGGAGAAGGGGCAGAGGAGGGCAGAGGAAGGGAGAGGAGGGCAGAGGAAGGGAGAGGAGGGCAGAGGAGGGCAGAGGAAGGGAGAGGAGGGTAGAGGAGGGCAGAGGAAGGGAGAGGAGGATAGAGGAGGGTAGAGGAGGGCAGAGGAAGGGAGAGGAGGGCAGAAGAGGGTAGAGGAGGGTAGAGGAGAGTAGAGGAGGGCAGAGGAGGGGAGAGGAGGGCAGAGGAGGGAGAGGAGGGAGAGGAGGCAGAGGAGGGGAGAGGAGGGCAGAGGAGGTAGAGGAGAGTAGAGGAGGGCAGAGGAGGGGAGAGGAGGAGAGGAGGGTAGAGGAGAGTAGAGGAGGGGAGAGGAGGGAGAGGAGGGGAGAGGAGGAGAGGAGGCAGAGGAAGGGAGAGGAGGGTAGAGGAGGGCAGAGGAAGGGAGAGGAGGATAGAGGAGGGAGAGGAGGCAGAGGAAGGGAGAGGAGGGCAGAAGAGGGTAGAGGAGGGTAGAGGAGAGTAGAGGAGGCAGAGGAGGGAGAGGAGGGCAGAGGAGGGGAGAGGAGGCAGAGGAGGGCAGAGGAAGGGAGAGGAGGGAGAGGAGGGCAGAGGAAGGGAGAGAGGTAGAGGAGGGCAGAGGAAGGGAGAGGAGGATAGAGGAGGTAGAGGAGGGCAGAGGAAGGGAGAGGAGGGCAGAAGAGGGTAGAGGAGGGTAGAGGAGAGTAGAGGAGGGCAGAGAGGGAGAGGAGGGCAGAGGAGGGGAGAGGAGGGCAGAGGAGGGCAGAGGAGGGGAGAGGAGGGCAGAGGAGGGTAGAGGAGAGTAGAGGAGGGCAGAGGAGGGGAGAGGAGGGGAGAGGAGGGTAGAGGAGAGTAGAGGAGGGCAGAGGAGGGAGAGGAGGGCAGAGGAGGGCAGAGGAGGGGAGAGGAGGGCAGAGGAGGGCAGAGGAAGGGAGGGGTGCAGGAGAGTGGACGAGGGGTGCAGCAGGATGCAGGAGGGGGCAGGAGCGGCCGCGGTCGGCGGGCAGGGGCGGGTGGGCGCGGGGGAGGGGAGGTGCAGGGGGGCGGGCGGCCTGCGAGGCCCCGCCCCCCGGCCGTTGCCCGGCCCGCCCCGCCCCCACGCGGGTCCGCGGCCTCCGCTCACCGACGGGCTTGTGGCCCAGCATGGCGTGGAAGAGGCACACCTCCACCTCGGGGCTCCACACCACCGTCTCCTCGGCCGGGCTGGTGGCCGCCTCCCCCGGCCCCTTGTCGCCCGGCGCGCCGCCGCCGCCCACCTCGGCCTCCCCCATGGCCCGGCCGCCCAGCGACGAGCCCCCGGCGGGAGCGGGCGCGGCCACGGCCTCCGCGCAGGCGCACTGGCGGGGCGGGAGCGCGCGGCGGGAGCGCGCTCCGGCTCGCGCGCGGCGCAGGCGCAGGCGCAGCTGAGGGTCGGGCCCCGCGGCGCCCCCTGGCGGTCGGGCGGCGCGGCACGGGCGGCCCCGGGCGGACGGCGGAAGCGCACCGGAGGGGAGGGGGGGGCGCCGCTGCGCCGCTCCGTGGGCGGCCCCTCCGAGCCGAGCGCTGGGCGGGGCGGGGCGGGGCGGGGCTGCGGCCGCACTTCCCCGACTGCGGCGCTAAGCGGGAACAGCAGGCCACTGGCCACGCCCGGCGGCTCCCAGGGGCCCCGCCCGACCTGACCTGGCCTTGACCGCGGGCCTCCGTGGAGGTGACACCGCGCCCCACTCCGCTCGGGTCCCGGCGGGGGCGGGGCCGGGGCCGAGGCGGGGCCTGCTCCGGGGGCGGGGCCGGGCGGGGCAGCCGGCAGAGAGGAAGTCCTCCGAGGCATCACTCGACCAGCGCCGCCGGCCCCGCCCCGCCCCGCCCCGGCCCCCGGAGCAGGCTCCGCCCCGGCCCCGCCCCAGAACAGGCCCCGCCCCCGCCCCGAGCAGGCCCCGCCCCCAGAGCAGGCCCCGCCCCGCCCCCCCGAGCAGGCCCCGCCCCCCCGAGCAGGCCCTGCTCGTCCCCCGGGTCCCACCCCGCCCAGGCCCCGCCCAGACCCCGCCCCCAGAACAAGTCCCGCCCAGGCCCCGGCCCCGCTCCGCCCACCGGCGTGGGGCCGGTACCGCCGAGGGGAGCGCCCCTGGCCTCCCGCGGGGCGTGGACCCTGCTCGGCTGCCCGGGCCCCTCCGGGGCCTCCGCCTCCTCCTCCGTGCCGTGGGCTCGCTACCGGCGTTCCCGGGGCTGCTCAGCGGTACCGCCGAAGGTCCGATGCCCTAACCACGACCCGGAGCAGGCTCAGGCCGGGACCTCGGGGTGGGTCAGGGCGGGCTCAGCGGGCTGGGGCTGGAGCCCTGTCTGCGGAGGGAGCTGCTGCGGATGCCCCTGCCCTCCATGGCCCTCGGGTCCCGGGGTCAGCAGAGCGCCCTGGGGGGCCGGTCGCAGGCAGAGGGGCGGCAGGACAGGCCTGCGGGGCCGGGCGCTAGAAGGTGGCCTGCAGGGGGAGCCCAGTTGGAGGGTCCAGGGGGACCGGAGCCGGCCAGGCCTGGCAGGCTGGGGAGGGAGGCGGCCGTGGGTGGGGGCTCAGTCCTGGACGGTGGGACCGTGGCGAAGCTTCCTGCCCTGACCGCCGCACAGGAGGAGCCCGTGGGTCCCCCGCGGTCCTACCAGGTCAGCCAGGGTTCCCGGTTGCCTGCTGGTCACGCCTTCCCTGCCGGCTTGTCACATCGCGGCGGCCAGGGCCGATGTGGCACACGACAGGTGGACGGTGACCATCGGTTCACAGACCCAGTAACCAACTGACCAACTCACTCTCCTGATCCCCCCGCCCCTGCCTCCTGTATTGTCTTCATCTTCAAAAGATGCAGTTGGCCTCCCAAGTATCTAATCCCAGCCACGGCAGGCTGGGGCCCCAGAGGGAAACACGTAGGCCCTGGAAAGGGACCTCTCCCATGGCCGGTGAATGCACAAGCCATCTGGTTTATTCATCAGTCTTGTATGAATTTGGCTACTGGGAATTATTCCCAAGACCAGCTCTAGGTTCTGCCCACGTGGAATGTGTTGCCTGGAGAGCTGATGTCATCTCGGAAGGCAGTGACCATTGCTTATCAAAGGGCGCCTATGCTCCACTCCCAAGGGGACACCTGGTTCTTGGTTGTGAGAGCTGGGTTCAGGGGAAGCAGTGTTTGGAAGGCTTTGATCAAACGCGCCCTGGTGTGTCCACCTGCCCTGGGGAAGTGTCCTCCTCTCTGACCGGGTCCCTGGGACAGAAATGGGATCCTTCCCCAGCCTGGCTGGCACTTCCCTGCGGGCCAGTCCTCCCTGGCGCACACTGGAGTCACCTCTGGGACACGGGAGGAATTCCCCGACGTAGGAGGCACAGAGTTGGGAGGCCAGCTGCGGACCCACTGGCTCACGTCCACCTGCTCGACCATGGGCCTCCTCGGGCCTCGCCCTCACATCTGCACATCGAGGACAGCGCGTTATCCCCGTTCCCGGGCTGAGGGGCCTCAGCGGGTGAGGTGCCCCAGGGCCCCCAGGGGCGCCAGCCAGGGTAGCCTTTTCCCACTCCAGACCCGCTGGGACTTGCGGCCCACAGTCACACCTCTAGGGGGCGTCCCTCACCCATTGTTTGGACTCAGACCGGCTCCAGTCTCAGAAATCTGCAGGCAGGGACCCAGGGAAGGTTTTTCCTGTTCCCCTGGCACCTGCCCCAGGGGCCAGTCAACGCATTTTGGAAAGAAAGTCCAATTCTTCAGACACGGCCGATGAGGAAGTGCTGTGATGGCCCCAGGGACATTTGTCCTGCCCCTGGGCATGGCTGTGCGGTCAGCTCGGTGGATCCTCGCAGCACCCCGCTGTCACCTGTGGGGCTAAGCCTGGCCCAGAGGAGGAGGGGAGTCCCGGGTGCCAGGCGCCGTGGCTGGGCACTCCTGATGGGTCAGGGGGTGTGTTGCCTTCTTCGTGGAGTGGCCAGACTTAACATATCAAAGATGACCTTAGTGAAAGTTGAATTTCAGCTAAAAAAGAATACTTTTGCAGTATATTTATGTCTCAAATACTGTGTGGGATAAACTTAGAGCTAAACGTATTCTTTGCTCGTTTTCTGTCCGAGTGTTACCGTGTGTCCTGTGTTGATTCCGATGATCCTGCTCCTGTCTGCGTTGCTGTCCGGTCAGCAGCTCGATGGCTCCTGCACTATGCTCATGCCAGGCCCGCAGTGTGGCGCCTGCTTCTCGCTGAAGTGAGCGTGTGCTGGGGGGGGGGTGGCAGGGAGGCCCTGGCACCGCGGGGCACACCTTAGGATGTAGAGGGGTGAGCGACCCGGGCTGTGACGGCCAAGGGCAGACCCCAGGCGTGGCTCCCCGGGCGCCCATTTGTGGGTAAGAGCGCACAACGATCGATGTCCCCACCTCCCACCTTGATGTCCCCTGGGCACGTGTGCCATGAAAAGCCACGCTGCCCTGGAGTCGGGTGCGTTCGTCCCTCCGGTCCCTGGGCTCAGGGTGGACCCCGCCGAGGAGGGGCAAGTTCTGGCGGCCCGGGCTGCTCAGCGTGCACACACTCACCGGCAGCACACACGCATGCACCCACGGGGGACTTGTCAGAAACGCAGACTCTCCCTTATGGGCACATGCACACAGGCGTGCACACACACATGCACACACACGCACGTGCACCACACCCAAATCCGTGGAGTCCACATCTGCCCTCCAGGGTCTTCGTGCGAGGACCACACGGGGGCTCTGGCCAGCGGCCTCTCTTCCAGGTCTCCGGGGGCCTTGACGCGGGCTGGGGGCCAGGCTGAGCTGCTTTGGATCATCTTTTCATTTCCTGGTTTCCCGGGAAACTGATCCTCACGTCTCCAACCCATTGGGGGATGCATGGCCTGCGAGCGCTTGGTGGCCGGAGCCAGGCCCTGGGGACGGCTGTGGGAACCATGGCCTCCCCTGACCGTAGGGGCCAGGCCGTCAGAACGCACCCTGGATACTTTTTGCCAGTGACTATTATTCTCCTATTTGTGGGTGGGGAAACTGAGGCACGGGACTGCTGAGTAAGGGGTCTGCTACGCCAGCCAGGCTTTGACCGCAGAGGGCCAACCGAGTAGGCTCTCACCCTGAGGGTGGGCGTCCCAGGGGCCGACACTTGTGTTTTGTCCCCGCTATGGGGACTGACCGTGAACCCCAAGGGTGAATTAATACAAGAAAGGACCAAAGGAAACAAGTCCTCGTACCACAGGCTGAGCGAACTCGTGGAGCACGTGTTCCCACTTCTCAGTAAGGAACAGAGCTCTGCCTTTCCCTGCCCAGAGTTCAGCTCCTTCTGCTACTGGCGGGACCTGATCCCCAAAGTGGACCTGGATGACCTGGTGTGAGGTGACACCTCCAGGGGGAGGTCCTCAGTCCCTCACCTCACAGCAAGGGAAGGTGACCAGCGCTTCTGCTGGGCAGAGGATATTGGGCAACCCTGCAATCCACAGGTGCAGGACGAGACCCATGTGGATGGCCGGGCACCAGCAGGCACTGGGAGAGTCCTGGAGCTGCAACCGTGGTCCTCCTTCCCCTTCCCAGGCCTGGTAGGGCTGTGACCCAGTGCCCTGGGCAGGGTAGCGGGGGAGGGGGGCAGCGGAGGAGCTCGGACCTGCGGTCGGAGGCCTGGGCTCCTAGCGCTGTGGTCCTCATACACGTGCTGTGTCAGGTGTGTGCTGGTGCTCCTTTAACTGAATGATTTAAAAGGAAGAAAGAAGCTGAGAGGGGACCAAAACATGTATACAGTAAAGTGTTATAATTTCAAAAAAAAAAAAAAAAAAGGCCCTCCTCCTCTTCCCACAGCCCCTGGGAGCCCATGGGCCAGTTTGCAGGAACCCTGTTGTCCAGGAGGGGGGTCGGTGCGCAGGGTGAGGAGAGCGTGAGCAGAGGTGTAGGGACGGGAGCCCCACGGCTCGCAGGGGTCTTATTTCAGCGTCTTGGCAGGTCATGGGCCAGCCTGGGGACGGGGCGGACCCTGGACCTCCAGGGCTGCGGACGTGGGGGCGGAAGACGCCCTCCCAGCATGATGCGCAGCCGACCCCTGCCCCACGGCCTCCCGCTCCGAGGGCCTGGGCGTACCGGTCGAGGCTGGGTCCTTCCCCGTCCACTCGGCGTCCGGCGCCGGCCGCTTCCCTGGGTACGTACCACGGAAGGAAATGATTCGTGGGTCAACGCGGAGAATGACTAATGTTCTCTTTGTAAAAGGGAACAATTCTGTTTTACAGGCAGGAAAAGTCACCCTGAGAGAGAAGCCCTGGGCCCTGCACGTCCCGAGCCCGGCGTCCTGGCCTCGCCTGGCTTCCGTCCACCGTGAGCGAGGAGGGTGATGCGGGC